GACGCGGCCGGAGACGGCCGCATTGCCAACGGAAACGCCGGTGGAGAGGATACGGCCCCTCTTCCCGACGTTGTAAGTTTTGAATATGGCCGAGTCACGGCGAGAGTGTACGGTTTCCGGCCGAGCTTGGACGATGAACAGTTCGCCCGTGATGCCGTCCTTGGCCCATTCTATGTCCATCGGGCACCCATAGTGCTTTTCAACGGTGCATGCCCAACGGCCTAGCTGAAGGATTTCGTCGTCGTTAAGCACAAACGCGGCTCGCTCTGCTTTGGAAGTGGGAACATTGCGGGTTCGCATTTCTCCGCTGCCGTAGATCATCTTTACCGCCTTGTCGCCACGCTTCTTCCCAATGATCGGGATCAGGTTGGTGTCTTCCAAGAGCGGCTTGAAGACTTGGTATTCGTCGGGATTAACCGTTCCCTGTACGATATTCTCTCCGAGTCCCCAGGCCGCGTTGATAATCACAATCTTGTCGAAGCCACTTTCGGTGTCGATGGAAAACATGACGCCGGAGCCACTGGCATCAGAGCGAACCATACGCTGCACTCCAACCGAAAGTGCGATGCTCATGTGATCGAACCCTCTGGTCTGGCGATAGCTGATGGCTCGGTCGGTGAAGAGCGAAGCATAGCAGCGGCGGCACGCATCCAGGAGTGCATCTTGACCCGTGATGTTCAGATAAGACTCGAGCTGGCCGGCGAAGCTTGCATCAGGCAGGTCCTCGGCTGTCGCGCTAGAGCGAACGGCAACACCTAGGTCCTCAATTCCCGTCTTCGCCGAAAGCTGTCGATAAGCGGTCTTGATTGCGGTTGCCGCATCCTCTGGCCAGGTACCACGGAGGAACAGACGTCGCACCGCATGGCCCGTCTCAGAAAGACTTGCTTTCCCCGATTGCCATTCCTCGATCAGCGTAGCTATCTTTTCCCGAATACCGTTGGCGTCAATGTACTGCCAATAGGCGTCCGAAGTTGTTGCAAAACCAGGTGGCACGGCGATCCCCTCGGCTTCAAGGCCACCGATCATCTCGCCGAGGGAGGAGTTCTTGCCGCCGACTAAGGCGACATCACTGCGCGTCAGATGTTCGAAACCACGGACCATAGCACCGGCAGTGTTGGTGGCGTTCATCTTGGAGACTCCATGTCCCGCCATGATTGCACATAATATACACTAAGAAAAAGGAGCTATGCCAGCCGCGAATTACATGTAGTGTTATGGGCTTGTGCGGGAGGCTGATAGTTCAAATATAAATGAGCCTTGAGGCCTGCACAATGAGCACCTACGTTGGGGAAATAAGGAAGGCCAGTTCGAACATTATCGACGGACATTCGGTCATGCCAGTCCCCCTTGGGTCCCTTCTAGCCGGAAGGTCCGTTCTTCAGCCAGCCAGCCTTTGCGTGGCGATAGGCTGGAGGCGAAATAACACCTAGTCTCCTCATCTTGCGTCATTTTCGTCGGACCCGAATGTTCAAATGACGACCCGAGGTGTCATCAGACCGGTCACCAGACTGTGGCATACGCATTGGGCTGATCGAATCCAAACCTGACCTGGTCTACTGGCGTACCGTGGTGGCGAACCTGTGCTGAGCGGGTACTAGGCCAACTTGGCAGAGAAATAAATGCTAGAAACGCCTTCTCCTCGCCTCCCTACAGATCCACCCGACCTCTATCGAAAGTGGGGGTTCCAGAGGTCATGACGCCCAGCTGCCAGTGCAGGCCTGCGGGGGAGGACGAGATACCGTCAAACGCCTAGTGATGTGGTGTTTGGCCTTCCCCGTTGACTCGGTCCTGCAATTGTTACAGCTTAATTACCGGGAGGACTTAGGATCCTGGGCCAAGTAATTGGTTTCGGGCAACTGATGATATAATTACAGCCTAGTCAAGAAACTAAGACTGGAGCTCGTGACCTTATGTCCCCTCGTTACTAGTTAGAAAGCCAGAGGGCGATACAGAGGGTGTTATTACCCTAGATACCGTCCTTCTCTCTATAAGACGACGCTAGTTTCCAAGCTTCTCCATCATGTGCTTCACCCTCTCGGCTGATCTAGCAATAGCAGCATTCTCCTCCGCTTCAAGCGGTACCTTGAGCGTCTTCATAATTCCCTGCCTCCCGATAACCACAGGCAGGCTGAAACAGCAGCCGAACTCGGGTTGGAAGTGGCTGATGGGCTGGACATCCCCCCGGTCGAAGCTGACAGAAGTACAGATGCTTGCCACGACAGAGCCGATGCCAAACGGCGTGGCACCTTTGGTGCGGAATATGCTCTCTGCTCTCTCTTTGCACTCTGCTGCCAGTTGGTCGTGGCCGAAAGCCATCGGATGGGACTACCTTGTGGAGCGGGATGCCATTGATGAGTTGCCGACGACCATGCGACGACCTGGGAACTGCCGTGCACGCCCAGCACGGACAGTTGGACTGAATTAACAGCCACCTAAGTAAAGACGGCAATAATTAGCACAGCCCAAACTACTGTAAAGTGAAGGTGATTCCAGCAATCGGTACTGTCAGTAGCACCAGACGTACTCCGGTTTTGTCTGCCAGCAGACCACGAAGCCGCACCGACTCGAGGAAGGTTCCCGAGCCAAAGACCTGGAACTTGGGGAGCCCGCTGAGTTCCTGGGCAACCGAAGTGAGGAGATCGACGGGGTTGGACACGACAAGGACGATGGCGTCGGATCGGAACGGCGTCATAGCCTTCACCACGTTCCGGATCACCGAGACGTTGCGATGCATATGCTGAATGTTGGTTTCGCCTGAGGTAAATGGTATTAGTCGGCTGCAGAGGAGAGGGAAGCAATAGCAATAGCAAAAGGTCAAGGCCTCCTCCCTCCACTTCTCTCTCCCAGTCTCTCTCCTCAACTTTCTTTCAATAATTAGATCCTTGCTAACCTAAGCTGTACTTGGACCCTGCAGTAATCACCACGATGTCGCATTGGCCTGCCTCATGATGCGTGGCCGCACGCACACGTACAGTGCCGCCGGCGGCATAAGCAACATCAGAAAGATCGCGGACCTGGGCGTCTCGCAAGTCCACCTTGACATCAACCAGGAGCAGCTCGTACGTGGCGGACCCGAGGATAAGCGCATACGCAACGGAGCCGCCCACCTGGCCAACGCCGACAATGGCGATCCTCGAGGTTGACTTGGTATCTTGGGGAGCCATGTTGAGGTATTAACATTTGATGGTGACGAGCGCAAGACCACAACACGAATGCAACTTAAGGGTTGAGGCGAGTCACGGATGGATTAAAACAGAATACGGGTGTTGAATCGTTGATGGTGTGACGTGACGTAACGCGACGACAAAAGTCCCCAGTTCTTCCAAGTCCCCATTTCCTTGTCGAAACCTATCATGATGAGGTCAGTGTCCGTCCATTCGCCCGGCCACAGAGAGCCTAGACTCCTAGAGATGCACACACGGGCCATGATCTAAAAATGTATCCTGAAATTGGCCAGTCGAAGTCGAGTATCATACGCCATCCCGACGGGAGCCGGTTTCCGTTTCGAGTCCGACACTTCGGCTTCGGATACAGGAAGGGCGGCACTGTTAGTGCTTGTGGAGGCCAGAAAGGTGGACGAGTGGATCTACTAGGGCGTGGTGAGATGGAGGAGATATACTACTAAGGCAACCTTGAGATTACTATATCCTTGATAACTAGGAGCGAAGTAGTAGCGGGATAGTTTAGGGGTGGACTTCTATGTTAGGGCCGACCCCGGCTTAAATTCCCATTTGGCTCCCCGAGTCCCAAGATACCCTCCCTGGACCCTGTATTACTATTATCTTTACATGCTATTACGATACTGTCGGAATATCTACGCCAGAGTTACGTCCCCGCACGGGGACGTGACGGATGGATGGATGGATGGATGGAATACATGGATGGATGGATGGATGGAATTTATTTCGCCCGGAGGCACTGGGCCTATAGGGCCTTAGCACGCTAACTACATTCGGATCAAATCGTTTTGCCTTTAACTCGTACAAGCCCCCTACTTCTTCCCTCTTTCTCGCTGCACCATTTACCTCTTGCCTTGGTTGTTGTTAGCAGATCAGCTTGGAGTCTACTTTCTCCAACTGTTCAGCGTCCTATCTTCAGCAGCTAAAGCGGGACCTGCTGGTTAAGGCTCGTGGTTGAGACTCGTGGTGTTGAGTGTCGGCTTCTTCTACTGTGACTGGTCTAGGTTCTCCTCCTCATTCAGCTCCAGCCTTCCTGTTGCCATTGCGTATTTGATCGTCGCCCGGACTGCCTTCATATCTGGTGACCAATGCCTTGTATCTGATGGCGCTTTCCCTCCCAGATAGAACGAGAGGCTTCCTCGTCTTGCCACTGTGCATTGCAGCATGTCTTCCCTCAGAGCTGTCCATCTCACGCATCGGAAAAGAAAGTGTTCCACTGATTCCCTCGCTTGTCCACAGGCACAAAGGTCTGACTCGACCGCCCCAATCCTGCTCAAAAAACCGTTCAGTCTCGCCATTCCGGTTCGGAGCTGCGCCAATACGCAGGCCTCCCTTCGCTTCAGCTTGTCATAGAGATGGCGCGTGTGCTTGCCTGGTAGTGCTGCGTCCATGGCCCTTTGAGAACTTGCCCACGCTTACAGGTAGAACTCTTGTCGCCCGTTGTCTTTCCATTGCCAGCCTCATCGCGGTAGACTTGGCCTGGGGTATTTGGGAGTCGGGTGTGCGTCCTTGCTTCGACGCTCTCTGGGCTGCTGCCTTGGCATCTGACCCCAGCGCGAAGTCAATCTCCGCTGGTATCCACAGAAAGTTGACCGAGTTCCCTCTTTGTCGGTGCAGCCTGGCCAAGTCCCTTCTTTACGGATGAGCTGGTTGCGGCCACGATTCCCGAAATTTTGTTGACCATCTCGGCCGCCTTCCCTCGATCGGCTTCGAGCGTCGGTCGTAGGCGAGGTACCCAGGGCGGGACGGCGTATTCCTGGATTGTCTCCATCCGGTCAACTCGTACTCCTTCGGCCACGCGGGCAATTTTCTGCAGCGGAGATACGAATCGTACGGTGGTCCGGACTTTCTTCATCGCAAGGGGATGCGTTCCGGGCAGCGTGTGGATGTTGATCCACAGACTGGCTGCTGCCTGGGCGTGTCGTTCTCGTACGGGGTAGATGCTCGCTTCAGCTTCCACCACGGCTGTTGCCGCGGTTCGAAAGGCTCCCGTGATGGCCAGGGCCCCGATCTTCTGCGCCCTGTTCAGCCAGCTCAGTGCCTTTTCCCCGCACGCATGCATCCAGACATTGGCAGCGTAGTCCATGACCGGGGCTACTGTCGCAACAAATAGCTGCCTCGCTGTCCGCGGGGAAAGCATCTTCAGCCTCTTCAGGGCCAGAGCGGCTGCGAGGCCCTTAGCTGCCGTCCTAGCAATGTGCTGCTTGTAGCGGACTTCGCGATCCATCACGACACCTAGGATTTTCGCACTTTCCTTCGGTTTGACCACTTCGCCTTTGACCGAGAACGGTTGTTCTGAAAATCGCTCCATGTTCCTCGTGAAGTGTATGATGGCTGTCTTTTCGCCTTCAAACTGCGCACCGCTCCGTTTCTCCCAGTTAAGGGCTTTGTCGATGATAGCTTGGATTCCAGTGCGGTTCGACTCCGCTGACGGGCCCGTTACCCCAGGCAGTGTAGTCGTCCACGAAGGGCAATTGCGCCTCCGTTCGCGTCGATCTTGTGCTGCACTAGGTCGGCGTTGAAGAAGAGGAACAACACTGGAGACAGCGGCGATCCTTGCGGAAGACCCGCTTGGGGCAGCTCTTGCCGTCCAGATGTGAACCCGTTTACGGCAATGGTCGCTGTGCGCTTGGAGCAGAAGGCGTCGATCCACTTGACCAGGGGTTCAGGTATCCCTCTTGCCTTGAGCCTCTGGAGAAGCCTGTCTTTGAAGACCCCATTGTATGCGCCCTTGACATCGAAGCTGATCAAACTGAGCACCTTCCTAGCTCTCCATGCTTTGTAGATGTGTTCCTGAAGCAGAAGGAGAGCCTGTTCGGTCGAGCGTCTCTTCCTGGCTCCGAGAGTGGTTGGCGGGTAGAAGGCCGCAGGTCTCCACAGCATGGGATAAACGCTCCGCAATGACTGCCTCCAGTATCTTACCCAGCGTGGGAGAGCAGCGAGATGGGTCATTCCAGGACTTGGGCTAGAGTAGTATTCAGCTCTTCCCTAGGCTTCTTCAATGGGATGATCTTGGCATTCCTCCACTGGCTGGGGATGTCGCCGTCTCGAAGCGACGTCCGGAATAAATGGAGCACCCTGTCTTTGACCACTGGCCAGAGCTGTCTCCATACCATTGCCGGTAGACCGTCTTCCACCGGGCGCCTTCCATGGCTTAGCGGACAGGACCTTTTGTTCTGATCTCCTCCATTGTTAGGTCTGGCATGTGTACCGGCGCCCGTTGAGGTCGTTGGCCCTCGTCTTCGATTCTCGCTGGCAAAGGTGGGAAGAAGGCGGTGAGTAACTCCTGCGCTTGTTCTGCTTTACCCTCCGTGATGGAGCCATCGGGTCGGACGAGCGGGGGTATCTTATCGCCCATCGTGCCGCTGCCGGTTTGCAGGTACTTCGTTGCTTGCCAGATGTTAGCGTCATCGGCCAGGAAGTCGTGCCAATGCGAACTCTTCTGTCTGCGGGATGGCGTCATGGTACTCTTTGGCTGCCATCCTGGCTCGTTGTTCGAGCTCTGGTTCTGCTTGCCCCATCCTACGTCGAGATCTCGCCTGGTTTCTCCAAAACGTGTATGTCTGGCGAAGCCGTGTCAGGTCCGTTGTCCACCACCGCTTGGCGTATGGTGAGGGCTTGGCTTTAGGTGTCAGGCCGTAGACCGCCTCGGTTACCGCTGCCATGAGCCTGTCCGTCTGCTGCTGGACATTGCCGTCCCAGGGGATGCGTTCGAGGTTTGCTGCCGAATCCACCACGTCCTAATTTCCGTCCAGGGCGCGTTCTTGAAGAGGAACCTCGTCTCACTGGGACGGTCCTCCACCGTGGTGTCAAAATCTGTCTCGATTGCTCTGTGGTCTGAGCCATGGTCGCAGGGGTGAATCGTGCATCTGAGTAGTTGGTCTGCTAGTTCTGCAGAGGCCAGTACCAGGTCGATTGTGCTCTCAATGTCGCCTGACTGCCACGTCTTCGTGCCTCTTGGGAGGAGGCTGCAGAGGGAGTGTTCGTCCATGAGGTTGATGATGCGGTCTCCCTCGCCTTGTCTCCGTGGTGAGACATCGTCCCCTCCCCAAAGCTGGTCGTGGCGGTTGAAATCGCCCGCCAGGATGATATCCGTTCTCGTCCCTGTTCCGTTTCGAAACCTCCTAATCAGTCGGTCAATTTCCCTCATTGCATCTTCCAGTGCTTCGTCACTACCACCCTCCACATACACTGACACCAACAGCACTGCCCGGTCTGGGAGCCGGATGCGTGCTGCGGTGAGGTCTGCCGACGGCACTGGAATCTGCTCGACCTCTATATCGCTTCGTACCCATAGCATGCTCCGAATTGGCCACGTGGCTTCTCGTCTTGTCGTTGGTATCAGCTTCGTCCAGTTGTGATGACTCATTGGGACCGTCGTCACCGAGCCTTCGATCAGCCTGGCATATGGTTCGGAGATGGCCAGCACTGCGAAGTCCTTGAGTCCCTCGTCGCTTAGCAGACTCTGCTGCACTTCTCTCCGTTTGCGGACGTTGAACTGAAGGATCTTAAGCGTCTTGGGCCCCATTGTTCAACCAGCGTACCCGACAGTTCTTGCTAAATGACTCGTGTGGTCCTCTGCATAGCACGCACTTCAGGACCACGGACTGACACGTCTTGTGGTGGTGACCCTGTTCCGCACACCTTCCGCATCTTTGCGGCTTTTTGCAGGCGAAGGCCTTATGGCCGATTTCCTGGCATCTGTAGCACTGGGTTGGGCCTTCCCGGGGCGCGAACACGGTCGTGTAAGCGGATTCTCCGGCCAGATGGAAGTAACGCCCGTCTAGAAGTCGCCTCGCTTCGCTGCCCTTCGTCACGTAGACGACCATAGAGCCGTAGGCCTTGCCTGTATCCTTCCTGCTGAGCCAGGCGATCTTGGCAATGTTGACGTCGTTCTCTGTACCAAGGGCTTCCATCGCCCCTGGTAAAACGTTCCCCTCGGCGTCGAGGACCGCTGTGCGGTTGGCATTGTCGATCCTCACTGGGTAGAGCTGATCCCTCAGCACCCGTACGCCCGGGACAGTGATCTTTTGTGCTGCATCCTTGACAATCCTGGTCTCGTTTTCGTCTCTACAAACCACCTTGACCCGATCCGGGTTCCGGGCCTCCTTTACAACCGCAGCGCAGCGCCAATCTCCCATGTTCTCCAGTGTCCGGACCTCCGCCTCGATTGCTTTTCTGACATCCGCCACCTGGACTTTGTTCTTTTCGTTTTCCTCCACTCTGGATGTGTCGATGGTGCAGAACAGCGTGTCGGTAAAGGATGAGGGTGTCGTGTTCGACGAGGAGAGGGTGCGCACCCCGCTTGGTTGGCTTGATGGTGGGGTGCGAGCAACTTCGGCGTACGATGCTCTTGCGCTTGGCTGGGACGAGGCCGTGAATACCGGGTTGCGTATAAGGACGTCGATCTGGTCTCGAGCTTGCCTCAGCTCCTCTGATAGCTGTGCCTTTGTGTTCGCTAGGGCGCATTCCATTTGACGTTGGTATTCCTGGAGCTGATGGTGTAACTCTTGAATCGTGTTCTGCTGCTTGCTGACCACGTCGCGTAGTTCAATGATTGTATCGAGCATCTCGTTTCGCTGTGCATTGAGCACCTCTAGGAGTGTTTGTAGCGCTGTCTTCCCGGTCCCAACTTCGCTGTTGGTCGCATTCCCGCCTCCTAGCGCGCGCGTTCCTCTCGAAGCGGCGGTCCGCGTAGCATCGCTCGTAGTCCTTCTCGACGCGGTGGTTGCGTCTTCGATCGATTGCATTGCTTCGCGAACTTTCGCACTCGGTTTCGGGGCGCGGCTCGGTCGCTTCAGCGGGGATGGTTGGTCCGCCACCTCGACCACGATCTGGTCCTGCGCCGACCCCGCCATTTCGCCGTCCTTCGGCAGTGCCGCTCGACTTTTTCAAAAGTTTAACTTCCCGTGAAATTCGCGACAACGCAGAGCGTCGTTCCTCCTGGGTTCATCGGCCTCCGCGTCCGTTGTATTTTTCGGTGTCTCTTGTTTTTCCCGTGGGGTGACACCGGTTAGGGGGCTGTACATGTTTTTGACCCAATGGTGGAATGTTGCAAGTCCAAGTGCCCCCTGCACTCTTGCGTGGTTGGCTTCGGCCGCTTGAAACCGGTCGGATGAGCCAAGGGCGAGCCAGGGGTGGGCCAAGTTGCTCTGACTCGCTGCGAGCAAGAGGGAGGACTACCCTTGACAAGCAGAGGGGGTTAATTTATACAGGAGGGGGACAGCGATACTGGAGGGAGCCGGCTGGTAGGGGTGTGGGTTTCCCAGGCCGGGATAGATGGAATAACAGTACTCGTTCTCCGCAAAAATAACAATCTCGCTCAAACACCCCTAGTACCCTCGCGGTTATCACTTCACCGTCTTGCCCATCACCGACAGACGATAACATGGAAGATCACCCTCCCACGACGACGGGTGCGTGACATCGCGACAATGGACCCTCCCAGAGTGTGAGCTCGAGTGCTCGGTTACGTTGTAAGTCGCCCTCGAGTGCGTGTATATAAACACCAGCCGCGGCCCCCAGTCCGTCAGCACCTTGATGGGAATCGGCCCGCCCTCCATCGCCGTGGAGCAGCGAATCGGCACGTCGATTGAAAACCCCCCCCGCGTCGTCCGACCTCCCCCGGAAGAAATAGTGGAAGGGGCCCCGCGTTCTCAGGTAGATGCGGTTGTCCAGCCGCAGCAGGATGACCAGCAGAATCTGCCGGTTCACGCCCGTGACGGCGACGACCTCGCTAAAGGAGCGACAGGAGAATTGACCGGGTAGGAAGCTGCTCCACGGCCAGTGTTCAACGCGGATGGCCTTCGCTACGAGCAGGAGGAACGCGGCAAGCGCCCAGCAGAACATGCTGACGTTGAAAGGGTCAACGCCGTTGATGCGCTCGCCCACCACGAAGCCGACGACCAGTCCGCCGATTACTAGCAGGCCCAATGTATGGGTCAACCCGTATCCCTAATTCTCCAATTTTCTATCTCCGCCCCTGGCTCCGCGATAAGCCTGTCCCCCTAGCATCTTCTAGCCTCCTAGTCCCAAACACCACCAAGGCCTCGCCTTCGGGTACATGATGGGCAGCTTATAGAACGACGAGAGCGAATTCGAAGATTTGCTGGCTGCATACCCCGCCAAGCTGAAGGCCACGGTTGACGACGAGCCTAACAGCTATCGGGCCCATTTCGAAGATGTGACGCAGGAAACATAGGTATTCGTGGGGGAGCATTGCCGAGGTGTATCGGACCGGAGAGAATCCCCATGAGCAACGACATAAGGAAGGCCGCTTCGGCGACGCATCGCGCCGCACGGCGAAAACATTGGTGGTGTGGCCAAGACGACACGGTTGGAGATCCAGTCACCCACACTGCGCGCCGCCTTCGCGGCCCTCGCGGGGGACTATGTCAACATCAACTTGCACAAGAACCCCATCATCATTCCCGAGCCCTATGTCGAGCTGTACCACTGCCAGAACCGCATTCGGGCACTGGTGGCCTTGGATTCCGATATCGTTGACGATAAATTGCGTGGAGAGCTGAAGCTGTTGCAGACGTTCCAAACCGACTACCTGACGCGTACCCTCGACGGCCTGCAAGCCCATGAACCGAACGGGCTAATCACATTTGAGCTCCTCCGCGTGATATTTATTCCGGGATCGCTGATTATCCTTCCGCATCGTCGTTTGTACTGTACCCAGTCGAGGTGTACTGGGCGGCTGTAGTCCAGTGGTGTCAAGTTCTGCTCTACAATAACAAAGAGCCCTACTGTGAGATTACGGTGGGCTACACGGCCTTTGACAATTTGTCTTTTGGAACTGCGTTTGCTAAGCTAAAGGTTAACGATTTTCACCGAGATCAAACGGACCACGGATCTCCCGGTCTATCCACTCTCGCATCACCCTGAAGCAAAAGCCCTACTATCAGCTCTGAAGATACGAGGGACAGAGTACAAGAGGTTGTGCGAGGATTCTAGTACCAACAAAGCCAAGGAAATCATACCGTCTTGGGCTGTCACTGCCACTATGACGGGCCGTTCTGGGAGGTTGCCAACGGGACAAGGGGGGTTTTCCAATCTAACAGACGGGAGTACGCAGACACCTGGGGTCTTCTACACCACCCCAAATTCACAGGTGAGGAGTCCCAGATCTTGTCCTCCGAGCGTGGAGAGAGTGCGCTGACGGTGAGAGCTACAGTGCAAGGGCCGAATCGTAGTCCAGCGCTGCTCAAAGATCAGATTGTAGATCAGATCTATCAATCCAGAGCAGTCCAGTCGATTCAGATCGGCCATTTCTTCAGATCAGTCGGATCAGATGAGCACCTTACAAATCTGATAATCTGATTGTTATCTATACCATACTTTTGGCCCTTGGTCAAGGCACCGAATCCCTTCATTTTGAGTGTTAATTATAGAGAGGTGGATGAATGTGTCGGGTATTACTTTTTCCGGGCCAGAACAAGCCCTGTCTAGCGCTAAATTGCGGATTCCGCGCGTCGCTCTGTCCACTGTTTGTACGCGCGCGCGTGTGTGTGACGACCACTGAGGCTGATCCGATTCGCCAGTTAAAGTTAACCCAACCTCGCAATGTCGACTGCTGCACAGAGCAGCTACGCAGCCTCTACTGCAGACAATGCCAACAACGTTGCAGCAGTCTTCCTCCCCCGCCCTCGATCTCGACTGCGCACCATCGCGAAGCAGTACGACGAAGCTGCGCAGCAAACCGTCACACATACCGACGAGCCATACAAGATCGTTTGGGGGAGCCGAACTTTCGTCATTAGCGGTGTTCTAAACAAGAAGAAGAGCCGTGGCCGTCGTTCCTGGATTACTCGTGAGGGTTGGTTCCTAACGGAGCTGACGACAACAGGAAAGGTCAAGCAGGATGTCTGGTGCTGTCGACGCTGCGATGCCTACGGCAAGCCCCAGTTTTTCAGCGCTCAATCAACCTCGGCCTCGCAGGGACACCTTCTAAGGCTAGCATAGCCCTTGCCGTTGTTCTAATCACGTTGCTAACGGTTACAGGTCCCACAACATCGCCGAGGACAGCCCCAGCCGGCCAGACAACGAGATGACCGTCCTTGACATCCAGCGAGAGGCTAGCAACCGATCGACCCCTTCCAGCATTCCACAAGCGAAGATCAGTCGGGCCCGGGAGCTTCTAGTAGGCTATATTGTCGACGGCGACTTGCCCTTTACTGCTCTTGAGAGCGTCTACATCAAGGAGCTCTTAAAGCAGCTAGACCCTGGATTCGCCCAAGAGCTCCCTCACAGTAGATCGACAATTGGAAGGGATATCAAGGAGGTTTTTGAGTCGAAGATGATGGCGGTCAAGGCTGACCTGACGAAAGCCCTCAGTCAGATTCATATTAGCTTCGACCTTTGGACCTCTCCAAACAACCTAGCCATGATTTCAGTCTTTGGGCACTTCATCAATCAGAAGAAAATGCCCCAGAGCAGGTTGCTAGCCTTCCGTCGGCAGCTAGGGAAGCATTCTGGGAATTACATCGCGCTCACGATCCAGGATATTCTCAAGGCTTGGGGAATTGGGAAGCAGGTGGGTGTCTGCGTCGCCGACAATGCAGGGAACAACGACACATGCCTCAAGGCCCTATATCGATCCCTCGATCCCACCATAACCGACCGAGATATCAAGGCGCGTCGAATGCGATGCTTCGGTCATGTCCTCAATCTTGTTGTTCAGGCTTTCCTTTTTGGCCAGGATGCTACCTGCTTCGAGAGGGATGCTTATACCCTTTCCCTTTGGAGTGACGACGAGGCTGAACTAGCACATTGGAGAGCAAAGGGACCTGTTGGAAAGCTTCACAATATCGTCAAGTTCATCAGGGCGTCGCCGCAACGATCCGAGGCATTCCGACAGCATGCTAAGGAAGCCCAGACCTCTGACGACTATCTGTTGTCAGAGGAGCCGACCTGGGACCTTGGCCTCAAGCAGGACAACAGCACGCGCTGGAACTCAACTTACCTGATGATCGAGAGGGCTGTCAGGAAGAGGGATGATATCAACAGCTTTATCTTGGAGCTTGATCTTGAATCTGATGGTGACAAGCGGATCCCTGATGCTGACAAACTAACCACCGACGACTGGAAGGCCCTGATCGAGATCAAGACGATCTTAGAACCACTCTACAAACTGACGATAAAGACCCAGGGATGGGGGCAGTCTGGAACAAGTGGTCGACTTTCAGATGTTCTAATGGGGATGGAATATGTATTGGGACATCTTGAAGGTTACAAGACTCTATACGACAAGGATTCCGGTCTTGAAGCTGCTCGAGCAGCTGAAGCTTCGGCGGATCTAGCGCGTAATCAACCAACCAGTCTATCGCAGCTTCGATCGACGCGGCGGCTGCGCTTCAACGAAGGGGCCCTGCCTTCTCATGCCCGCGACGAGTACGTCACGATGCCCGACAGCGACGGTCTGCTTAGACTCCAAGCTAGAGAGCGGGCCAGCATTCGGGCCAGCATCAACAATGCCTGGAAGAAACTTGACGAGTACTACACGAAGCTTGCGGATTCCCCTTTGTTCACTGCAGCTATCATTCTGAATCCAAATCTCGGCCTTCGGTGGCTGCGGCGTCGGTGGAGGGATCCCGAACAACATGAGTGGCTCGTTGCTGCGAAAGATGGTCTCAAGGAATACTTTGACCGCTGGTATTGCAGCTCTGATGATCCCCAGCCTCAGGGTCGATCTGTCTGTCGAGATTTAGGCCGGGAGGACGATGCTTACGAGGCCTTCGTCAACAGCGGAGTCAGTTCCGATGAAGATGGTAACGAGGACGAGATTGACCGGTACTACAACATGAAGGTCGGGGGCAACGTCGATCCGGTTGAATGGTGGATCAGTAATAAGGCTCAGTTCCCAAAGCTGTCTCAGATGGCCCTTGACATTCTCGCTATTCCAGCCATGGCAGCTGACTGCGAGAGGTCCTTCAGCATTGCTAGGCTTACTCTGAGCTCCCAGAGGCATGCAATGAAGTGGGAGACTATCGAGATGCTTCAGATGCTGAAGAACTGGCTTAGGAACGGCGATATCGTCATCGGAGGAGTCATGAAGGGCAGCAGGCCGGATTGGGGATCGATTAAGGGGCAGCAGGGTTACGAATAGCTGCATTTGTATGTCAGTTCAGTCCAGTTCAATCCAGTCCAGTCCAGTCCAAGGGTCGAGGGAATCAATCCGATCAGATCAGGAGGGTCTGTCTGATCTGACTGATCTGAGAGCAGCGCTGTCGTAGTCGACCCCCCTGGATTCATCGAGGAGAATCCAGCTTATCGTGACCATGTCCGGATGGATAGGTCAATCCCTTCTTCCATTCTTCGTGGATCGGTTGGGTCAGAGGAGCTATCGAATGCGCCTCCCGGGATACCAAGATCAAGGGCGGCGAAGACCGCCATGCGGGACTGGAGCTCTCGAAAGCGATTCGGGAGTCCCTCAAGACCGACGCCAAGAAACCGGCGTCGCCTTCAGCCTCCTCGTCGCAGACCGGACCCACGGATAAGACCATCACCGACCTACAGCTCATCACAATGCCGCCTATCATCCCAGGATTCTCCATGAGCAATCGAACATGGGGCTTCTACCTGATGGACGCCATCTCCGAGATTCAGTGGAATCCCAACGCATATGCCGCCCTTCAAATACATCAGAAGCAGAAGGATTCGATTTGGAAGCTGGTGGGTGAGCATCGGAATGCTGGTTCGGGATTCGATGATTTTGTGGCTTGAAAAGGCAAGGGCCTTGTTTTCCTCCCTCACGGGCCGCCTGGAGGCGGTAAAACGATGACTGCTGGTAAGCCCCGTTTACTGTCCCTGACAAGTGTCACTCTGACTTGGTCGCGGCTGACGCGATATTGAAAGAAACAGTGGCGGAAAGCTTGATGCCCGCTGTATTATACAACCGGGGGCGAACTGGGACTCAAAATCGACAACATTGAAAAGGGACTGCGCCTCATCTTTCAGCCTATTCAACGATAGGCGGCCATTTTGTTGTTTGATGAAGCGGATACGTTCATGGCTCGACGAAGCGGGGACAGTCTGGAAAGGAATGCCCTTGTCTCAAGTAAGTCCACCCACCCCTGAACTGAATCGTCGCTAACGTACCTCGCATAGTTCTCTTGTGATTACTCGAATATCAATCAGGCATCCTTCTCTTAGCCACGAACGGTCTAGGTGACTTTGACGAAGCATTCTACTCGAGAATGCACATTCGGATCGAGTTTAAGCGACCCGAGGCCGACGGCCGCGCCATCATCTGGGCAGGGATTGCGGGACAAGCCAACCATGAGATTACGCCAAACGAGTTCAAGGCACTCGGCACCCTTCCTTTGGATGGGCGGCGCATCAAGAACGTGGTCCGGGTAGCGTCACTCCTGATCCACTCGCGGGCAAGAACGGCGAGGATGAGCTTGGCAGGCGTTAAAGATGCGTTGCAGATCTCGGCAGGGGATCCGAATGATGGCGAGGTAGAGCCACTAATCAAGAGATTTTGCAGCTGAAGACCTAACTGAGGCCAAATGTAAGCAATGCGTGTAACATCCCAATCGTCGCAAAAGTGGCGTATTTCCCAGTTGCTACGACAATGGCTCGCACCCTCTGTCTGAGACTGAAAGCGCCAAAAAAAACTCTATTGAATCCAGTCCCAACTCCTCAGACCTCGTAAACCTTTGTCTCCCCTAATTATTCTCGCCAAAAGCTGGCAAGAATCGACGAGAAACCCATTTGTACTCGTCTCAATCAATCTATTTCTGTGAGAGAACAAAAACGTCATGCAAACTCAAATTCTATCCGTCCCTTCATATTCCTATTTGAAGCCCAGACACATACCGCATTCCGTCTACTCTTTGAAACCAGAACTACCAGACACCGCTCTCCCAAAAGACTCTTGAAAACAACTGTTCACTCACACCCGTACAGCCCCAAACAACATCCAACACTATGGCACCAGGGCACAACACCAGAAGCCGCACCCGCGAGCCGAGCACACCCCCCCTCAGCATCGACCCGCCCTTGGCCGAAGTAACCCCCAACGCACCCTCGAAGCCGCTGGCCCAGCGTCCAAGGAAGTCCGTCAGCAAGACAAAGGCCACCAAGGCACCCACCACCAGCCCCCGCCGCTCCGCACGCATCGCCCTCCGCAACAAGCCCCCACCAGCCTCAGACACTATCATCACTCCCTGACAAGGCGAAGGAGGAGGAGAAACCAGCCGCCCCTAAGACCCAAAACTTCCACCAAACCACCCACACCGACCGCCGACCCGGACATCCTCGAATCGATCGAGAAGGACGACGACAACAACGACGACGCCGAAGCCAGCGACACCGAGTCCGAGCTGTCCGAGCTGTCCGACGGCCTGTTCGAGCGGGAGATTTCCGCGCGGGTGGAGCAGGCGGAGAAGCCGCTTAAGCAGAAGCTGGCGGAGGTGACGGCGGAGCGGGATGAGGTGGTTGAGTTGCTGGAGGCAAGGGGGAGGCGGGTGAGGAGGCTTTGTGCTTAGGTTTGGGGTCGGTAGTGGGGGTGGGCTTGGTGGTGGCTTGCTCTGCGTGGGGTTGTGGAGGGCGTGATGACGCCTAGTATGGAGAAGAAGTCCCGGTGGCGGCTGCGGCTGAGGGTGCAGTTGAGGCCCTGCTACCGACCTACAGAGCAGTCAGTGTAAAAACAGGGGTTCGGGCTGCTATGTGTACTTATGTTGGAACCCCCGACCATCGCTTGAGAATGTCCCCGGAGTCAGATAATTAGAGCGAGGCTCTACTCACTATACAATTACCTGATTTTTCCATGTTGGTATGTTCCGGTGTTGTAATGTGTCTCGACAGTGTACCTACCTCTTTTTAAGTTCCCCTTTCTTAATGTCGTGAAACATCTGAAACTTGTTGATGTTTATCATATCTGTGTGCGGTACAGTAAGGTAGTCCAAAGGTTTCTGTCGCCCCGGTATGACCGTGGTTCTGGCACGCGTTGGAACATTCCCAACAGCTTCCGCCATTTTGAACCAGGTGTATTAGTAGCGCGGCGGGTCTGTGAGTGATTCCTCTAGCTTGACAGGTCAAGCGGAGGCACTCAATGTAGGTCCACCACGATAAAGGCGTGACTTTCGTGCACCTCTCGGTCAGGCAGTATCTGACAAAAGTGACAAGCCGATCAACTATGCCTGGGACGTCACGGTTGGTGGATGAAAACCACCTTGGCATGGCCCAGCAATGTTTGGAGACGCTAGAGATGGCGTTCGCCGCGACTGAATACACTCAAGAATCGTGGGATGCGAGTCTAGTTCAGTTCCACTCTTGGAGTACGCTACAGGGTACGGCTTCGTTTACGCTGCTTGAGTGTCCAGCCCTCCCGAGAACCTCTTCAACTTGAACCGGCCAATATTCTAGCAGGAATTCCTGACCAGGCGCAGATGGGTCAAAGCTTACAACTCCTTTGCCGTTTCCAATTCCGGCCTGATCCGAGAGTAATCTCTACTGGGGTTGGCGGCCTACTTCGACTTGACAGCGTTAGGCACGCTTGCTCTTCAGCCGCAGCGTTTCCCGCAAAGGCCGGGTCGGAAAGTGATGAGATTTCTTCAGCGCCTACGAAGGTCTACTAATCCCCATGGAAACATGCTGCCGACTGTACTCGTGGTGGCCCGTGAGAGGGACAGTTGCTCCATGGTTGAAACGTTGGTCAAGGCGGGTGCAGACCCTGCCCAGGCGGTAAATTCAGGTGGCTACACCGTACTCAAGGGGCCAGGATGAAGTTGTCGACCGCAGGGCCGATAGAGTACAAGGTCGGCGTCCACCCGTTGCCAACTTCCCAGCCGCAACCCAAGTTACGCAACTCACCCCCCTGGGTGTGGCAGCCGTCCTTGGTAATGAGACATTGGCGGCCCGTTTGGTTGAGGCCCAAAGAACAGACATGAAGTACCGTACAATCTCGCGAAACTGCAAAACCTAGCCTATTAGGGCCTAGTGCCTTGAGGGCGCTCGCCAATCGAAGCCATGCAGTCAGTGGATCTCAGCCACAGCCAAAATTGTCCTCAGTGCTGCCCCTGATCAGCTTGTTCCTCCCGTATTGGCCAAAGTTGGCTGCAGTGGTTGTCTTGGTGCAGCCAAAGCCAGCTGCGGCCCACTCTCGCCAGCATCGCTGGCGAGAATTGACTGAGGAGCCATCGCGTTGCGATAGAAGATGTGGCTGTGTGGCTCAACTGCAGCAAACCCTGAGGGCTTCAATTGGTGGGCGTCCGCGCGACACTAGGCCCTAATAGGCTAAGGGGTTTTCCAGTTTCGCGAGATTGTCCGGTACTCGGGAGCTGGGGTGGGAACCGTGGTATACCCGTGCTTGCCGTGTAAAGTGCACGTACATTTTACACAACTGGGACCACGGAAAGTGCCAGCGGCGCAAGTACCTCTAGACAGGCGAAACAAAGTGTGGGGCAAAATGCAAGTTGGACAAAATACCTAGGCGATTTGTCGGCGCACCACGATCACAAAATTGTGACCCCTGCAAGCGAGCACCAACCGGCACCATGGCGCACCGCGCTTGACACCCCAAAACTCACCCGACCCCTGCTCGGTGAGAGCAGGCAAGGGCACACTGCTCAAACCCCTGTTCAAGCAGCAATTGGTAGCCGTGGTTGCAAGCCAAAAAGATCAAGAGAACGGACAAGGTTCGGGTGGGCTGCGGCCTGGGATGTCACATCCCATAGAAAATGCGAGAAGAGTGACCATGGTGCACCCACCCTACCTCGGACCCTACCTCGTCGCCCTGCCTCGCGAGCTCCGCGTGAGCCGCATATCGTGCTCAGAGCCAACTTCGTCCACAATCTATTTTCCACGCCCACCACCTTCATGCATGATCCCGCCCGCCATCTCACCTACCCCCCCGCTCACCGGCGATCCTCGTCCGGTTTGAAGTGGTCCAACCTCGCTGGTTTGGAAGCCATCGTCTCTCCCGGCCGCCCCGGTGCCTTTGGACAACACACCGTGGCTTGCAGCTCTTCGCCCACTCCCCACTCAACGTAAAGGCGATACCTGTTACGGAAATTTATGGAAACTTTAAGTTTTGGAAGATTGAGCCCGCGACCGAGACGGACCTTGTCGCCCATCAGCGAATCATCCCCCCACCCTCCGTCGGCAGGTTTCTTGAGGAGACCCATACGGACACGCCCCTGATCGGTCGGCCGGTCAGTTTCCCCCTTGCAGGCAACGCGAGAGGTGTACCCGTCCCCTGCAATCCCAGTTGCTTGTTCCACAGAATAGAGAAGCATCATGTGGGACTCTGCGTGCTAGTTGCTTTTTATCACCGCCCTGGCCACGCTCTGCAGGACTCAGAGAGCGCCATCAGGTTCAACTTGCTCCTCGCTAACAGTCGGTGCCGGTGGGTTGCTTGCCCATAAAAAGGGCTCGATACCCACGGCAATATCCATTCTTTTCATACCTCCCATCATCATCCCCCTTCTCTTCAACATCACCTATTATCGACAGCCTAAAACAAACCCGACTTCTCTCTCATCGCCATCACTCGTCAAACATGTGTGAGTTCTTTACTCCTGCCGCTGTTAAACCTTTAGTGACTCGCCGTGGCCCGATGAAGCTAATAAGCACCCGGGACATGCCCAGCCGGTGGATTCGAAGACATCACTGCCGATGGCCTTATGCAAGGAATGGGCGCATGGGTCGAGACGGCGCTGGGCGTATGGGTCGAGATAACCCCCGGCATTACAGTCGGGCCCGTCCAGATTATTCCTATCACGCCTCCATCCTGTAAGTCCTCTGGCTCCTTTCCACATCCTCATGTCCGCGGTTGTGTTGACCCCTGGTAGCCTGGGCGGGACTCGGTGCAGGAAACAACATGGCGGGACCTCTGGGATATTGCCCCTCTTGGTCACCAGTTCGGGCGTACTGTAGACTCGGATATGGCTGTGGCGGTAACTGGCATTGGCTTGAAGCGGCTGGCGACGCTCACGTTTACCAAGTCGGCGCCGTTATATTTGATGCCCTTTGAGTGACTCCAATCTGGCTTCGTCAACGGAGCCACGTAGCGAAGTTTGGCAAAATTGGGAAAGCATGAAGTGATAGTGAACAGATAGTCGGGGCCAAGTGAAGAGTTTTCAGATTGTTGGAGCACCTACTCATTTTCCTTAGACGAGTGACTATATACTGGCTACATTTTGTGGCTCTCTGAGGCTCCCTCAGAGCGCCAGGGAGCCGGGCTCCCTGTGATGTCGATAGAGCAAGCCGCTCTGTGACCTGATTGGTGTTCTTCTTCCAGGCTCTCTCAGGCTCTGAGAGAGCCTGACAGAGCCTCGTTAGTTAGTTAGTTATTCCTGGTTGGTTACTTAAGCGATTGGCTACGGGGCGACCCGCGCCCCCCCAGTTGGTCCCAATTCGTGACACGATACCTGGTATTCCCTACAGTCACCAACCAGATATCCATGAGGAGACTTGGCAAGGTGCGTGTCCATTGTGCGGGAGAGGCGACGGGGTTCAGCATCGTAGCGGTTGATGGGGTATTCAATCTTCTCCGCTACGTATCCTAAAGAACTGTTAGCAAACAAAAAACCAGCGATCTCTCGCAGACTGACTTCGGAAATGCTCCAACTGCCCTTGCCCGATCTGACCCCGAAGTCTCGTACCTTGTATTCCAGCCCGAGCTCCGCAAGTAGGATTGGTATCTTAATTCCATTTGGAGTTGCCGCCGTGTAGAGAGTAATGTCAGTCTTTGTGGATCCCTGGAGCCAAACTTTGAAGATTTGGCTCCAGGGATCACTGATAAACGCTAACCCGAATCGAAGCGGGCCGGCGTCACCAACGCCCACCCCATTCGGTTTGTTTCCGTCGGGGTTGCAACAGTGCAGCTTCTGTTGGCACCTGCAGGTTGGCCTGTGCACAAGCCCACCCACAATTCTTAGTTTCAGCTGGTGCAGCTTTAGCTGCAACAACGACTCAATCCTTTTCTGAGCACTTCCTCTGCCTCAAGAGCTTCACCGGGAAGTTCGTCATGGCCGACATCCCAGGCCTGGAGAAAAAGCCTGGGCTACTCAAAGGCTCTCAGTGGCTCACTCTGGATTTCGGCAGACATAAAGTGTGTGTGAGAGTTACTATCTCTGAATTGTTTCGGAAGGACAAGACGTGCCTTGACAGTGTAAAAAGCCCCAATACCCGAATCCGCTAAACGTCAAACTCACCCCGGGGGTGACCTAAGTAAGGTCCGGCACGCGAAACTGGGATCCTCGGTGCCGGGACGATCTACATGGTGAGTGTTGTGCTTGCCCGTGTTGTATTGGGGGGAGTAAATATGCGACGCGCGAATCGTGAGTTGTGGACAGAGCTGGTACTTATACCCCGCATTGTCGGGGACAACGTTTGCGGAAACCGGGCTGTCACTAAGTTCGCCGTTGAGGCGGTTGGGGTTATGCGGGTGGTTTGGAATCATGTGGCGACTAAGAGGAGCAAGGCGAACCGTTGGGGAAAGGGAGTGAGAAGTTTACCCTTGGACTACCGTAGAAAACCTGTAAATTTGTCAGAAGCACCTCCGAGTGGCTGCCCCTCGGTGATGCTACCGCATGTTGTTGGAAATCCAACAGCCAGAGTAGCAATACTTCTGAACAGGGCGCGCAATGTAGTGCAAGCAAGGTCACTGATACGAGGCTTCAATTCGTGATGCAATTGTCTGACAGTCTGATTGATGTAACTGGAGGAAAAAGAGAGCCTCTCTTGCCTCTGTGCCCTCGGAAACGCTGCATTGGGCCCGGTTTGGTGGGGACATACACGTTTTGGAGAAACCAGGCGAGATCTCGACGTAGGATTGGGCAAACAGCACCAGAGCTCGAACAACGAGCTAGGATGGCAGCCAAAGAGTACCATGACGCCATCCGCAGACAGAAGAGTTCGCATTGGCACGACTTCCTGGCCGATGACGCTAACATCTGGCAAGCAACGAAGTACCTGCAAACCGGCAGCGGCACGATGGGCGATAAGATACCCCCGCTCGTCCGACCCGATGGCTCCATCACGGAGGGTAAAGCAGAACAAGCGCAGGAGTTACTCACCGCCTTCTTCCCACCTTTGCCAGCGAGAATCGAAGACGAGGGCCAACGACCTCAACGGGCGCCGGTACACATGCCAGACCTAACAATGGAGGAGATAGAACAAAAGGTCCTGTCCGCTAAGCCATGGAAGGCGCCCGGGGAAGACGGTCTACCGGCAATGGTATGGAGACAGCTCTGGCCAGTGGTCAAAGACAGGGTGCTCCATTTATTCCGGACGTCGCTTCGAGACGGCGACATCCCCAGCCAGTGGAAGAATGCCAAGATCATCCCATTGAAGAAGCCAGGGAAGAGCGATTACACTCTAGCCAAGTCCTGGAGACCCATCTCGCTGCTCTCCACGCTAGGTAAGATACTAGAGGCAGTCATTGCGGAGCGTTTATCCCATGCTGTGGAGACCTGCGGTCCTTCTACCCGCCAACCACTTCGGAGCCAGGAAGAGACGCTCGACCGAACAGGCTCTCCTTCTGCTTCAGGAACACATCTACAAAGCATGGAGAGCTAGGAAAGTGCTCAGTCTGGTCAGCTTCGATGTCAAGGGCGCATACAATGGGGTCTTCAAAGACAGGCTTCTCCAGAGGCTCAAGGCAAGAGGGATACCTGAACACCTGGTCAAGTGGATCGACGCCTTCTGCTCCAAGCGCACAGCGACCATTGCCGTAAACGGGTTCACATCTGGACGGCAAGAGCTGCCCCAAGCGGGTCTTCCGCAAGGATCGCCGCTGTCTCCAGTGTTGTTCCTCTTCTTCAACGCCGACCTAGTGCAGCACAAGATCGACGCGAACGGAGGCTGCAATTGCCTTCGTGGACGACTACACTGCCTGGGTAACGGGCCCGTCAGCGGAGTCGAACCGCACTGGAATCCAAGCTATCATCGACAAAGCCCTTAACTGGGAGAAACGGAGCGGTGCGCAGTTTGAAGGCGAAAAGACAGCCATCATACACTTCACGAGGAACATGGAGCGATTTTCAGAACAACCGTTCTCGGTCAAAGGCGAAGTGGTCAAACCGAAGGAAAGTGCGAAAATCCTAGGTGTCGTGATGGATCGCGAAGTCCGCTACAAGCAGCACATTGCTAGGACGGCAGCTAAGGGCCTCGCAGCCGCTCTGGCCCTGAAGAGGCTGAAGATGCTTTCCCCGCGGACAGCGAGGCAGCTATTTGTTGCGACAGTAGCCCCGGTCATGGACTACGCTGCCAATGTCTGGATGCATGCGTGCGGGGAAAAGGCACTGAGCTGGCTGAACAGGGCGCAGAAGATCGGGGCCCTGGCCATCACGGGAGCCTTTCGAACCGCGGCAACAGCCGTGGTGGAAGCTGAAGCGAGCATCTACCCCGTACGAGAACGACACGCCCAGGCAGCAGCCAGTCTGTGGATCAACATCCACACGCTGCCCGGAACGCATCCCCTTGCGATGAAGAAAGTCCGGACCACCGTACGATTCGTATCTCCGCTGCAGAAAATTGCCCGCGTGGCCGAAGGAGTACGAGTTGACCGGATGGAGACAATCCAGGAATACGCCGTCCCGCCCTGGGTACCTCGCCTACGACCGACGCTCGAAGCCGATCGAGGGAAGGCGGCCGAGATGGTCAACAAAATTTCGGGAATCGTGGCCGCAACCAGCTCATCCGTAAAGAAGGGACTTGGGCCAGGCTGCACCGACAAAGAGGGAACTCGGTCAACTTTCTGTGGATACCAGCGGAGATTGACTTCGCGCTGGGGTCAGATGCCAAGGCAGCAGCCCAGAGAGCGTCGAAGCAAGGACGCACACCCGACTCCCAAATACCCCAGGCCAAGTCTACCGCGATGAGGCTGGCAATGGAAAGACAACGGGCGACAGAGTTCTACCTGTAAGCGTGGGGCAAGTTCTCAAAG